GGGGGGGGGTTACAATTGCATTTCCTTTTTGAAACAATATTTTCTCTCTCCACTGTTGCTTTGTGAAAAATCCTCACAAAAAGGGGAAACAGCAAAATGATTATACACAAAATGCTCTCAAATGTACAAAGTATAGAAACTTGCCCACTCTAATCTTTGGTCTATCTGCCCTAGACGTTTTCTTACAATATTACACCATTGCACTACCACAGGTTTAGCTCCACAATTGGAACAACAGTGGGAGCACTAGTGGCAATAGGCTGCCAGTGTTGCAGTCATTGTTGTGTAAGCCAGCTCTAATCAGGAGTAGACAATGAAGAGGTTAAGACAACTGTGCTGCTGGTAACAATAGTGGGAAATTTTAAGGAAAAACTTCTAATGCAGATGCAGTCTAGATACTAATCTTAGAAGCAGCCTGTAGGGGAAAATGAAATCAGAAGTGTGAAGTGATGATTAAACTGTCTGCATCCCTTTAACACACAATCAAGAGAGTGCCAAATTACATTATGATACCCATGTGACAGAGGGGAAAGCAGAGGGGAGGGATAGCTCAGTGGCTTGAGCATTGGCCTACTAAACCCAGTTCAATTGTGAGTTCAATCCTTGAGGGGGCCACTTAGGGATCTGGGGTAAAATCAGTACTTGGTCCTGCTAGTGAAGGCAAGGGACTTGATGACCTTCCAGCTCTATGAGATAGGTATATCTCCATACACATATATATGTCTCTCAGCATTTAGGAGGGTACTTCCCAGCACAGGTAGACAGATGTGTGTTAGCTCTGCTCAAGCTGGTGCTCTGTAACAGCCTGAGTACAATTCCACTGCTATTTTTAGTGTGCCAGCTTCAGCAGATCTAGCATGTTCCCACCCATACTGGGAAGCCCCCTCTGAAAGCCTATTATGCCAGTGTAGAGTTCAGTTTATAGGTCTTGCCATGCCTGGTTGCCCTGGAGCTCTTCAAATCTCATTTGCACCAGGTACACAATTAAAGAACTGACAACTGACTGACCGGTATGAAAGAATATCCCCTATGTCCTAACTATCCTTTAAGTTTTTCCTATCCAAACAATACACAGTTGCTACTTTTCTAAGTAAACTAACATGGTGGTTGATTTTAAGGCTTTTTATACAGTTTGATGTACTATGCAACAAAACCCAATTACAAACAAGCTCAAGTGGATTACACAGGGTGACTTTATCAATACCCGTGAGAGGAAAGACTGAGCGATAGTTCAGATGCCAGCCTGGGACTCTGAGACTAGGGAACAATTCCCTGCTCTGCCATAGATTTCCCATGTTACCTTGGTCAAGTCATCTAGTGCCTCAGTTCCCCATCTGTAAAACAGGGATAACAGCACTGCCCTGCCTTGCAGGAGTGTTGTGAGGAGCTCTTTGACCAACAAGGTAGTATCAGCAAGAATGTGAGACTGCTAATTGTCATGAACTTTGGCCCGTGACAAATCTTCCATTAGAAATGTCTCAAAATAGGGAGTTACTATGGAAAAACAAATAGATTTGACTATCATGGGCACAGGTGTACTAATATGTATTTAGTGTATTGCCCCCTGTCTCTGATCTCCCTCCCCCCCCCAAATCTGCTACCAATGTGTGCTGTACAGTAATATTCTAGGATGCTTAGGATTCTAGCAACTATTATTTTTGATGCCCCATAAATTAGAGGGAATCAAGAAATTTCACTTCCATTTTTTGATGAAACTTCATTTTCTGTTGAAAAACTCCTTGTTAGGGTTTGTTTTCATGGGGGAATAGCCCACAGGATTAACAGCATGAAGGCACTCTCTTAGTGCGGAATAAGAGTATCCACTCCAGGAGCTAGTGTGGAATAGCTATTGAACTTTAAATTCACACCTTACCTTATTTTGCAATAGCTTCCCCATATAGACAAGTCCTTCAACTCAGATTTTTAAAATAACGCTATGCTCAGCATAGCAATAACTAACCTGATTTAGGAGTCAAAATCACATTAACAAACAATGGGTCTTAAACTTCTAAATCAGTTACGCATTGCAATGCTGAGCACAGAAACACCTACATACCTTTACAAATCTGAGTCTTTAGAAGTTTATTTAGTGAACCACCAAAGGCTGGAGGCGGAAGAGTCCTATGCTAATAGTATCAAAGCAGCACACTGGGGTAAATATCTCAAATATGGTTCAAGCTTTTCTGGGATATCGGCAGGGCCGGTGCTACCATTAAGGCAAACTAGGCGGTTGCCTAGGGTGCCAAGGTTTGGGGGCACCAAAAAGCAGTGCCCCCAATTTTTTTTAACAGCGTTCCTACGCCCCCTCCCCGAGCGTACGGTCGCCGCTCCACTTCTCCCACCTCCCAGACTTGCAGCGCCAATCAGCTGTTCGGCGTCGCAAGCCTGGGAGTGGAGGAGAATTAGAGCAGGGGCGGCATGCTCGGGGAGGAGGCAGAGCAGAGGTGAACTATGGTGGGGAGCTGCCGCACGGCTCCTGGGGGGGGGGGGGCGCAAGGTGGACGTTTCGCCTAGGGTGTGAAACTTCCTTGCATGGGCCCTGTATACTGGTGTACCAGTTTTTGAGCACAACCTTCCTGGTTAGTGCATTATAGCTACATGGCACTGCATGTAGTTACTTAAGTGAAACTTAATTTTAATTTATTAGGAAAAAAAATTCCTAAGAGCAATTGTTACAGCTCTTAATAAATGATAGTGCACGCCCCAGGATCATACAGCGAGCAGAAAAAAATCCATGCTGGAGTTGTTGACCATTGAAGGGCAAGGATCCGAGTGGAGGGGAAGGGATTCTGGCTTCCTCCCTACAGATAAATCACTCTCCGCTTCTAGTTAAACCCGGAAAGGGGCGGGGAGGGGGGGTGCGAGCCGTCTGTCAAAGCAGTGGTAGGTAACAGGAGCCTGCCTAGGCTTCCTTGTAGCCTCAATCACGCGGGTAGTGAAGTTAATTTCATTAACACTTAACACCCCTTTGTCCCCTGGCTCAGGGCTAGGAGCCGGCGAGGCTGCCGAGGCAGCTGCCCCCAGGATCGGGGGAGGGGGAGAGCCCGGGACACACGGACGGAGCCTAGCTGCTGTTCACCCCCTCAGTAGTGGTAGCACCGGGCGGCCAGCTCGCTGCGCCGGATCCCTCCCAGCTGCGCTGGGGAGCCCAGGCCGCCTCCCACGCCCTCTGCCCCGGATTGGAGGACTCCACAAGCGCCGTGCCTGGCGGGCAAGAGCAGCGCAGCGCTCGCGGCGCGGCTCCGGCTGCCCTGGGCTGGGAAGAGCTCGAGCTGCGGCGGGGAGCCGGCAGGATGATAGTGACACGTGAGTGGCGGGGCGGCTGCTGATGCCCAGCGGGAGCAGGGGAATGTCCGCGGAGGGGAGCAGCGGGACCGAGAGCGATTGGCGCCCGGGGCCGGGCCGAGGACGCCTGGGCGCTAGCGGCTCGGTGTTCCGCTGGGTGAGCCGCCCGGGGAGCGCTCCGAGCGCAGCGCGCTGGGGCTGCCACTGGTGCTCCGCTGGCTGGCTGGGGACTCGGTCCCGCCCGCTCTCCGCGCTTTGGCGGGGCTCTGACCGACACCCTGCAAAGACGGTGGTAATTCTGCTGCAGAAACCTGCCTTGGCGATGGCTGTGGGGTGCGCGCGGGGTGTGTGTGTCTCTTTCTCCTAACCTTAGTGACTAGCACACACCCCCCCCCCCCCTTATTCCCTCCAGTCCAGTGTGCTGGTCGGGGGTGGTTTTGAGTTGGGCACTCCCCAGTTTTTCCCCTGTTAGCTGAAGTCTTTCTGCAGTCTGGCTTGTGGCCAGGCCCGGTGAGAACGTAGGTTTTCTTTTCCCTGGTGTTGTTCTGCCGCTAAACAACTTGCCTTTAAAGTGTCTAGGTCAGTGGCCTAGATTCTTCAGAGACCATCTTGACCTTGAACTCACTGATTGTGTGTCTCCTGCAATACATGCTGTGGGGTAAACTGAGGCACAGAGCAGTTAGGTGACTACTATGCTTTAGCTCACTTACAAATAAAAACCTCATCATCCTCTTTATAACTGCAACAGGACACTTACACTTCAAATGTATTCAGTTCAAAACAAGTAAATAGGTATGTGTAAAGGGGCTGGCATTTCCCCCCCCACACACACCTTGCCAGGAGATTATGGTTTAAATATTTGGTAGGGACTCTCCAATTAACATTGGTAATGCACAAGGTGCTGCTCAAATTCATATGGTTCCAGGGGAGTTTACAACTGAGACATTGATTGCAAAGCTGAGCCAGAGCAAATAATTGTGTCTCCGGGGTATACTGGAAGACTTGATTCCCAAGGACAGCGTGAGTGAGTGTATATGCCGTCAGGCAGTGATACTGAAACAGGGACAGCAGTACTCCAGAGAAAACAGAATGTACTTTTTTAGGGCAAAAGGAACTATTAAAAGGATTTGAGGGCATACACTTTTAATTGAGGTGAATGGCCAGAAACAATTATATCCAGTAGTTAAGTGGATTGTGTGGTATAATTTTTTGTTTAGAGTTACAAGTGTTTGTAATTACATTTGTGGTGCTGCTGGAGGCTAGAAATCTGATTTGTGATACCTATTGGGATTTTGGTGTACAGATGGGCAATACATTGGGATTTGGGTGGATCTAGTCCATGTGCAAATGGGAATTGGCTTCCTAGGAGCTGAAGTTTATGGACAACTGATATGAAATTTTACAGATGCAACACGGAATACAGACCAAGGATGTCAGGAAGGACTAATAAGTTTATCTGCAACCTGGATCAGCCCCAAAGTCCACTCAACAGCTTGAATTACAGCCCACAATGAAACCAAGCAAGAGACTTCATGAAGAATCTGTTAGCTTAGTAGGTGCTGGGATAGGCTAATTTGTTGTAGGAACAATGCATTCCGGAGTTTGGCATCTGGCTGCTGCAGCTGCCAAGCATGTCCCATGCATGTTGACTTCAGTTTTGGAGCAGATGGAGGTGGTTGAGAAGGACAATAGATTCAGCATTACCAGTAACGGAAGGAGGCAGCAGCATCCGATTAGTATTGGAGCCAACTGCTTTGCTGTATTTTTGTTGTTGTTGTTGTTGTTGGCTTGCCTTTTGCTGTCATAGTAAGATTATTGTATTATGGAAAAAATCCTTCACGTGTCACACAAGGATCAAGAGGGAACAAAACTCTTTTGAATTATTTCTATAGCCTCACAAATTGGCGTCCAAGCCTAATCATGTAAAGTTAAAATTAATTCTACACTAATTGTTCTCTCCTTTGTACCTGCTGTGAGTAAGGAGATGCTGCTAGGCTTCCTGGTGAGCTGGGAGTGTTGAGCAAATCTTACTTTTCATAGCGATTTCTTATGCAATTTAGTGCTGCTGAAATGGAGAGTCCTGGGATAATTGGTATGGAGTTGCTGCAAACAGCAGGAATGTTCACCATCTGCAAGGTTTTGGAACAATTTCAGACTTAAAAACCCCTCCCCCTTCAATTTTCTTAAACCCCGATCACCATCTAATTCTTATCCATCAAAACTGGCAAACTACATTGTGACACAATGAAGGTGAAAGATGTGCGTTTACCTTGATCTTGATAATGGAGATGTTACACTTTTCAAATGCAGGAAAGTGGTAGTGAGGGACAACTGTTTTTTAAAAAAAACCCAAAACAATACATTAAGAATAAGTTTTATGTTCAATATATTGCAGCAATACTGTCAAGCATAAATTTATATGCTGTAGTTTTAAACAAATATCCTTACCTGTTACTAATATCTTAAATTATTAAAACAAAGTATTTTTAAATTCTGAAGTACTAGTTAACAATCATACTGCTTGTTTACATGAAGTATTTCATCATTTTCGACTGAGATTAGACTAGTTTGTTTCATGTGCTCTTTCTGGTTAGTTTCATTTTCTGCCTTTCCTATGCTAGCACAGGGCTGCTGTTCTTGGGCAGCAAACACTGCAGAGGGTATGTTTAAATTCAAATCTTCATTGACAATTTAATAAAAACATGAATATTCATATTAATGTGAGCATTTGTTTGGTTTTTGGACCTAATCATCCCTTCTAAATTTTGGTTATGTGATAACCAGCCTATATTACAATCCTATATGGAAAATTGGCACAGGTCATGTATTTGTGTTTTGATTCCCATAAACATTTGGCTCAAGAAAAAACAGCTAACTTTAAAGTGCTGCCTCTAATCTTTGATAAACTAATGGGGCTTGCAGGAAATGGAAAATTTCCAACTGCTTAAATATTTATAAAACCAAACAGTGTATTTAATGTGTGAGGAGGAGTTGCCATGTCAGAGTCACTCTGGTATTTCATACCATATGCAAATAATGCTGTACGATCTCTAGGAATCTGCCTTCTGCTCAATCCTGAGAAAGAGGATGTAATTGTAATACAATTTGGAGTGTCACTCCTGTGCCAGCTTTTCAAAGGATCTCCCATTTCCTGCTTCTATTTAGGAGGGGCGGACTCCTTCCTTACAAGCATCTGAGCAGCAATATTGGCATCAAAAAAGAGTAATCAGTTAGAATCATCCTGTGTTTAATAGCATATCTATTTTAAAAAGTTGGTCAATAAGTCTATTGATAGATCCTGTTGTAGTATCTGTGTAACTGTATAGGGGCAAAAACAATTCTAACAATTTAGTGAGGTTGGTAGTTATCGATAGTGGCTAACACACAAAGTTTGTACACCTGTTACAAGAACTGTACAAATATTTATTAATCCCCATACCGCTTTAAGATAAAATACATTTCTTGATTTCACAGTTCAAGAGCATTGAGACTGGGAGGGGCAAAGTGGCCATGGAACGGAGCAGGTATTAGAAGTCAAGAGTTCATGTCTCTTCTGCATAAACTGCTAGGCTGCTTCCCTGATCAAAAAGTAACACATGGGTGACCATTTCAACAGGCTAAATAACTAGATGGGCTCTGCTCTACATAAACAGATATCTCCGACTCCAGTTTAGTCCTCACTGAGCTTTGGTGTCTCTTAGCTGCACTTTTGAAGCACTGTGTTAGTTTACAGAGCAATAATATTCATGATTACAGTAGCTCAGTTAAACCAGGATTTATAAGTGCCTTGTTACATCTCTAATACTTGGTGCTCAAGTTTGATCCTATACTGTTGGTGCGATACAGTGCCATGCCTTCATGAGTATTTCCCTTTTTTCAGGTGTTAACACTTTGGGAGCGTTGGAACACTCTGTGTGCATCCATAGAAAACATCAGTTGGGTATTTAATATGTATGCCATTGCTACCAAAATAGCCTTTCAGACATCGCATGTCTTAAAGTTCCTTGCTGTCAGGCCACAAACTAGCCTGGCACATCAGGAGTCTAATGTAGGTTAACACAAATTTTCCTTTTGATGAAGTTTATTGCCTCCTCTCAGGTTGATTAGTATCATATTGGTACAGTGTTTTTTTGGGGGGGGGGGGGAAATGTCCTTAGATCATATCTAAACAGCTGGGACTCTATTTTCCAATTATCTTAATTCCCATTAGAGTTAAGAGGAGCTGCACCTAAATCTTCCCTGGATGTCAGTGGCATCCACAGACTTTTTAGAGCATTTTGGCAACCATTTCTAGCAGTGAAATAATAACTGCTAGACTGTTTCAAAAGTTCTAACATTGGAACAGATGTAGAGTAAGAAGTGTATTGATGCTTCCTGTACAGAAGCCTGGTAACAGAGAGGCAGCAAGCCGAGATGAAGCTATTCAAAGTAAAGAACTTTGTAGTGTCTGTAACCTTTGTGTACAGTGCTGCATTGAAATACCTGAAGATAGAAGTTCATTTAGCTACAGAATAGAGGTGGCAGCGGTACAACTTTTCCGAAGCTGCCTTAACCTTGTCCCGAAGGGACTACCACTGGGGTGAAAAGGTCATTGTGTCCAGGATCATTAGCTGATGAAGAAATTACTAATGGAAACATTTTTTAAGCTGCGGTTCCTGGATTAGTTTTTTCTTGATTCAATTCACAGTGGAAATGCAGCTGTAGTTTCAGAAGGAAGCTCTGGGTTACTTTAACCTGGGAAACTATTTAACATTTATGGGACTATGTAGACTCTTCCGTCTTCACTGGAAAAAAGACGTGCTTAACTAACATGAGTTAAAGTCCTAATGAAGACAAGGCAGGGCGTAGTTTACTTTTTGCAGAGTTAGCAGGTTGAGTTAAAGACCATGTTGAATTTAGGGTTTCCTTGACCTGCTAATTTGTGTGAAAACTACAAATGGCTTTACCTAACACAAGGGCAAATTCTAGTGAAGACAGCTCGAGTTAAGAACAAAGCTTTTTTTTCCCTAGTAAAGTTAATGCCTAAAGATTTATTCTTCTTCTTTTCCCTTATTATAGGTATGTCATTTATGAATGTGCATGTGATTTATCAATCTGTTCCTGATTTTTTTAATAAAGGCTATGCTTTGATAAAATTATGTGCAAACTGGGGGCAGTTGAACTTGAAATGTGTATTATGAGAGCAGCAGCAATGGTGTATTTAGACTGGTGAAGTTGGCATAGTGGTAGAAATAAGTATTTGTGAAAAATTTTAAAAATGGAGAGAAGTGCATCACTCTATTTAAAACAAATGTCATTTCAACCTACCTCCTTACTTGAAGATGAAAATGGTTGCTTGGGTGTGCATTGCAATAGGATTACCTAAATTAATCAAACTGAGCTTATTTGCATTTAGTAATAAAACAGATTCAGGGTTGAGAGATTCAAAATTCACTTTACGAAGAAGGAGCAAAGCAGTAAATTCATGACAAAACTAAAAATACATAAATGAATTCCTTCAACTTACTAAACTGGTAACTTACTGCTAAATATTTCAAGCAAAATCAGGCTACGCATTCCTATGTATAAATGTATGGAATGCATTTTTTGTTTAGAAAACATAGTAGAACAAACCAGTTTGTTCCTTCAGTCTAATATGTCAGATTCTGAAGCTCTTTTTAAAGATTTGAGGAGAATGTATAGGGATTGTCTGTGTGTCAGGCAAGCCTTGACAGTTTGGTTGTACTCATAACTCAACTAGAAGTATCCCTAGGAAGGAGAAAAGTGCAGTTCAGGGTTCCTCCCCTCCACAACAGACACCAGTAACTTCCAATATTGGCACGGTTTAGAGGCAGCTGGTATGTGCTCTTCCAACAGCATACTAAATTTGTTTACATTTTTAAGGCATCTGGTGAGTGTTCTGTATTTCTGTAAGGTTATGCTTTGCCTCTGCTCCTGTGGGAATGTTATAATATTGGCCATAATTGCTATAAAATGAGCAGTTGATTCCTGATATCTGTTGTTCTGAAGTAACTGCCAAGTGGAATTGATAGTGGGCAAGGAACAAAATATTAAGACTCTACCAACGGGTACTATACTGGGGCAAATTCTTGTTACTGAGAACTAGTAAGTGGTGTTCAATGTTACTAATGTGCTGGTCTTCCAGTTTAACTAATAAAGTAGTATTCTCTGCTATGTGTATGTCCTGCTGTCATACCTAAGAGTCAGTACGTGTGACTGGCCATTGATATCTTGGACCGGTAACTGGACATATGTATCATATATCCTTTTTTGTTCATTCCAACATATAACAGATGTTTCAGAGCAAAAGATTTTCACAGATGGATGATGTAGACTGGTACACTATATAGCAAATGTACCCCACTTTCAACATATTTGTATGTTTGCTGCATCTACACGGTGGAATAAATACTGTGCGTGTGTGTATGCATGCCAAATGGTAAACTAGCAGAACTCGCATATGTAGGATTCCTCAGGAATCCACCTTTGTGGAGTCATACAGAATAACCTCGGTTATTTAATAAAAGTCACCCCAATTGCTTGATCTCTAAATTTTTTGTTAACCACTGAAAGTCAACCTTTTGTTTTATTACAGAAATTGAAGCCAAAGAAGCCTGTGACTGGCTGAGGGCTGCTGGTTTCCCCCAATATGCTCAGTTATTTGAAGGTACAGTATGATCCGTACAGCTGATATTAAATCCAACTGGAATCCCTTAAAAAAAAAAAAAAGAAGAGAGAGAGGGGAAAAAAAAAACACTTTCAGAGCCTAGTACCTCTGACCACACTTATACTGTAAGCACAGCCATGTTGTTGTAACCAGTTCATACAAATTTAATCTGATCCAGTTTAACAAACAAAACATGCAGCTGAGTTGTGCGCATGGAAACTATATCTTAAGTTAATGTTTGAGCAGCAATGTAAAGTGCCTTTTTTTAAAAAAAAAAAGATGGGGTCGAGGGGGAAGGAACAAATATGAGTAATAGGCTCTGGTAGCAGAGATTGCAATTCAGGTTGAATTTCAGTTTCCCTACTTCGAAAAAGTTCTGAGCTATTAAAATCTCCTTCCTTTTTGGCTGAAATTTTCCACATTTTGTTTCTTTATTCCTAGCAATCCCTCAAGCTCTCTCTCCACCCTCCCAGAAATGCTTGAACATAGTTGTTTGAATCACTTTTTTAAGGGGGGGAAATACTCTTCCAATCAGAAATGTCTCAAATAAATTATAAGTTTAGTCTCAGCTTGTTCTCATAGTGTTATTGGGCTATAAGGATTATGCTAAATTTGGAAAAAATGATTGTCATTTTGAAGTTATAAACATTTAAAAACAGAGCAGTTTTATGTGTGCACGTTAGAAGTATGCTTTTTAATATTTGTTTATCAGCTGAAACTTTTGATTTAGGATAGCTGGGTTGAGGGGACGTGAAACCAAATAGCTATAGATCAAGGAATTTACAAACATCACTGGCAACACTTCCTTTCTTTAAAATAGACCAGCAAACAAATCAGTGATTGCAACATTAAGATTGAGAAATCAAATAGTCAAAGCTAAGCTTGGAAGTCATATGCCTTAAAATGTGGTGTCTCATGATATCCTTTGTCAGACTGAAATAGATAGTAGATATAAACTAGCGTTTTATATGCAACCTTAGATTTTGTGTAGATACTCAGTGTACCATATTGTATAATACTCTCTGAATTAGCCTGAGGATGGAATCCAGTATTCTGACTTCGCTTGATATTTAAATCTCAATAAAAGAATCCAAGAAGAACATTGCCAGTGGAACTAGCAGGCTCCTTGATCTGGGAGGGTAGTTTTCAAAATCTGGGCTGTCAAACTTTAATCATACTTTTAAACCAGAGAACTGACTTTACTCAGGTGTTGCATGTTTTGTTGATCTCATTAAAGTTTAAGCAGAGTGTCCCAGGCCAATGGGGTCTGCGGGAAGCGGCGTGGGCTGAGGGATGTGCTGGCTGCTGCTTCCCGCCGCCCCCATTGGCCTGGAACGGCGAACTGCGGCCAGTGGGAGCCAGGATCGGCCGAACCTGCGGACGCGGCAGGAAAACAAACCAGCCCGGCCTGCCAGGGTGCTTACCCTGGCAGGCCGCGGGCCAAAGGTTGCCAGTCCCTGGTCTAGGCTGTGTGTAGTGGGCAGGTCCTTACCATAGACAAGATTTTTTTGCAAGAAATTCCAGTTTTATAAATACATGTAGGCAGTATTGCCATCTCGTAACTTTATCGTGACTCTAGCAATTTTGATGCTTTTTTTTGACAAAGAATTTAGACTGTACTTGCCATCACATTTCAGTTTAAGTTAAATAAAACTAAGAACCTTGGTTTTAATGCAACCTAATAGCCTAGTCTTGTAAACACTGAGGCCCCAGTCCAGCAAACACTTATGCACATGAGCAGAGCTGTCCCTTGGGTACATCGAATTGGGGTCACCGCCCCAGGCCCCACGCTTTGGGAGGCCCTGCACTTCGATAAAATCATGAGGCGGTGAGCTGGGTGGGCGAGCAGGGTTAGGAGGTGAGCAGCAGGCGCGGGGGGCAAGGAGGAGCCACCCTACCAGAACGTCCCTCTCCCCCCGGCACCTCCTGCCCACGTCCAGGCCCCGCCGATCAGCGCCTCCCCCTCCCTCTCAGCGCCTGCTGTGGATCAGATGTTTCACAGTGTCAGGAGGTTCTGGGGCGGGCGTGGAAAGAAGTAGAATGGGGCCTTGAGAAGGGGTGGGGGCGGGTCCTGGTGGGGGGGGGGAGCACTCCCTGGCAGACTAGAAACTCGGCGCCTGTGTCCCAGGTACTGCACCCCCTCTAGGGATGGCCCTGCATGTGAGTAATCCCATTGAGGGCATGTGTGTAAAATTGCGCATATGTAATTGCTTGGAGGATTGGGCCCTTAGACATTTGCATGTATGTATATTTATATTTAGTTTTATCTAGCTTAAACTGAAATGTGATGCCAAGTACTGTTTAACTTCTTTGCAGATGTTCATATTATGATCCTTGTCAAAAGATTATAAGTAGGGTTGGCAGAATTTGATTTTCTTCATTTTTTTTAAATAATTTCAGCAAATATCAGTGTTTATTTTTAAGCTTTCTATTTGTAAGCTTTCAATTTTTCTTTTTTAATTTTCACAGTTGCAGGAAATTATTGGGGGAGATCATGCAATGGAAGGGTCAGACAATTATTTAATGACTCTTGAAATGGATGAGTTGTTGAGAAGAAAAAAGTTAAAGCTTATAACCATTAAAACACAAATTGTCTTCATCACATATCAAAATATACAAAGTAAATAGCCTTAAATCAAACTCTTAAGTTCTCAAGCAGCATTTTTCTTACTTTGCCTAACTGTAAATCTCGATTAATATTGATGGATGTATTTTTTTCATTGTTAAACATCAGTTTCATCGTACACACAAAAAGCAATCTTTATTGATAAAAATCTAAACCCTCCAAGCTTAATTAATTATAAATACTTTGTATTCACAGACATGCAGTTTCCTATTGACATCAAAACTGTGAGGAAAGATCATGAATTTTTAGATCGAGATGCTATTGATTCTCTGTACAGGTAAATATTATTAATTTGACTTTTCCCCCAGCCTAGCACACATGAAAATTATGCTTATAATGTTTAGCTTTTAACCTACTCCTTTTGAGGGTATGTTGTTTTTCTTTGTTTAACAGATGACTTGTCTAACATCCCAATTCAGGAAAGCTCTTAAGCAAATGCTTAAGTCCCATTGAAACCAATGGCCTTGCATACTTAAAAGTTAAGCAGGTGCTTAAGTGCTTGCCTGAATGAGTTTCTCTATAGCAAAGCTATTTTCTCTGTGTACAGAGTGAGATGGAATACTACTCTGGCTATCACTTAATCCATTCACCATCAGAATTGCATAGAATGATGTCACTTTTTTTATTTACTGGAACTGCATCTCAGCATTTCATATTGATGTCAAAGCAATTATTTACATGCTTAAGTGCTTTGCTGGTTTGGGGCCTTATTGATTCTGCAGTTCCACCGAAATGATTAAAAAAAAACAACAAACAAACAAACAAAAAAACCAGGAGAAAGTCCTAGTGATCTGCTTTAGTCCCATCGGTTTTTTTCTTATGTTTTAAAACATTAATTTGACCAAGATTTTTTTTCTTTGCCACATCCTTCACAATCACTAAAGGTTTCTTAAGCTTTTATTAATGATTGATTGGTTACAGTCCTCTCTTCGGACTTGGCTAGGGGAGGACTCTGGCTGTAGACAACATCATGTAACTGCAGAACTGGGTTGGTGGTTTGAGGGCATTTCAGGAACCCACAGCAGAAAGTCATTTATTACTGGCAGAAGTTCAGACTGTTTTTAAGATTTCAAGAGCAGAATGTCTGTCTGCTTTTATTCAAGAAAATAATTTGGGTTAAGGTCTTCAGTCCTTTTTTTCCTTTCCCCTAGACGGTTAAATACACTGAACAAGTGTGCAGCACTGAAAGTGGAAATAAGTCGTCAGAGAAAACGGGTATGTCTTAAAATTTTCATTTCATAACTCAGCCAAATAGAGCATTTAAAAAAATAGCATAACTTGGCGCACATATCATTGCCTGGTAAGATGAAAGTTTTACTCATAGATGTTTAATGTTTGAGTTGACAAATGGACTGCACAGGGGCCCTGACTCAACATGTGCTTAGGTGCTGCCCTGACTAGAGAGACTCTTCTGAGTTAGGGCCTGAAAATTTATGCTCAGAGGAGGGCTCTGTGCAAGCTTCCTGTATCTCAACTGATCTATAGGTTTCAGAGTAGCAGCCGTGTTAATCTGTATCCGCAAAAAGAAGAACAGGAGTACTTGTGGCACCTTAGAGACTAACAAATTTATTAGAGCATAAGCTTTCGTGGACTACAGCCCACTTCTTTTATATGCATCCGAAGAAGTGGGCTGGGAATGGCTGAGCCATTAAAAACATTGAATCTATCTCCCCTTGTAAGTATTCTCACACTTCTTATCA